GCTCCTGGTGGCATGGACGCGAGCACTCTCGTGATATTGGAGTTTTGCAGTAAGAAGATTGCAATCTGCACGACGGTACCGAAAGACGCGGATAGCGCTCCACGCAGTAAACTGCATAGTAGCATCGCGTTAAGCGCTCCCCGCTATACTGATTTGACGATACTACGGGATGTTCATGGATGAGTGACAGTGTTAGAGTAGAGCCTGCGCAGAGGTGAGTGAAAGAACTGATATGTAACGCGACAGGTGGATAGAATTGAAGAAAAAAATAGTCATTGGCAATTAAGATATATTACTTTACTAATCTCTTCTTTCTTTTCTGTTTCCGCTTGTCGTTTTTATGTGTAACTAATGTATTTTCCGCAAAGTTGTGAGTTTATACCTCAATCAAATTTGACTGTAATCTTGTTTACCTGCTGTTGCTATGTACATCCATGTGTATTAACGATTACTTTATGTGTCTCGTCTAAAAAGTTACCTTTTTGATAATCGATAAATTAAAATTAAATCTTTTGACTAAGATTATTTTTGTTATTTTGAATAATAAAATTTTAATGCTTATAATAAAATATTTTAAAGTAAAGTAAACATAAAATTAAATTTATTTAAAACAGTTTTTTATTGATATTTTAATTTTTGGTCATTTTTTAAAATTATTGCTATAACATTTATTTTTGGTGCACAAAATTGATTGTTTTTAACAACAATATAGTCTTCAATACATATTATTTTAATATAAGAAATGGCTCAAATAATTTATTTGCTTTTTAATAACATAGCATCAAGACTTGCTTAGCTAGTAACCCTATCTTCATTATTGTAATTTTACATATTATTTTATTAATTATTTGCCAATTTGTTGTTTTCGACATTTAGACATTACTGATATTTTTAATTCGTTTAATTGTTTATTTCTTGATCACAGCTGCAACTTTGTAACTTATTGTTTAACATTATAACGTGATTATTTTCGATATAAAAGAGAGTTCTTTTACAACTATATAAATTTTTACTTCTCTATTTAAACTTTATTATTTTATCGTAATTTATGTATTTCTCTTATCCTAATCCTTATCCTAAAGTTTTCGTTTTTACACTATTAATAATGCTTTCCCGTTCTTTCATATAATAGACACTTATTATATAATATTACAGTTTAATGACTCTACTATTTCCTATACTCTGTTTTTTCTGTACTTTACGCGGATTTAAATTACGATCCAATTATTTCTGACATTCATTTGGTACCAATAATGGCTCTCATTTGAAATAATTCAGAATAATGGTTTCCATGCTTAGAAGCTATCGATACGCAAAGTAGGATACTCGTATTTTATTCATTAATAGCTCGGCACACATATCAATTTCACAGCATAACTCTCTAAACCCACTAACCAAGTGAATAGCATTACTTTTTACTCTCATGTTTCACAGAGAAATGAAGATCGTTAATAATTACTACAGTATATACCGATTTCAGGAATATTTTCATGATTAAGTAATTTACATAACGTAAATGCATGTATAAGTATTTAATTAAATACGATAAAATTGATGTGAAAGCAAGTACACGTAACATCAAGTGTACATTTACTTTCAATGATCTAAAATAATAACTAGCATTACTGTAAGAGTAGTTTTAAAGTAATGCTCTATCATAACACAACATTAAATTAAAATTACATTGCGTAGGCTTCCATAACGTTACTGCACAGTGCTGCAATCTATTACCGAACTGTCGAAGTTACATAGCTTCATACTTCTTGAGCTTGACATGGTTTATCAATCAACTTTGATCACAAATATTTATGAAGTTATAATTTAATAAATATTTATAAAGTTATATAATTTAATAAAATTTATATTATTTTTAGCGTCATGCGTTATCTTTCTGACATAAAGGAAAGTTATTTTTATGGATATATATATTTCTTTTTTCAGGAATAATGCAATTTTTCCTATAATATCATTTAGATATATAACTTTTTATTTTCTTCTTTATTACGAAACATTGATTGTTGTCATATCTTATTATAGACGCAAACTTCGGAAGTTTACGCATACAATTATTTTTATTGAGGATTACCGTGTGTAAGAGAAAGTGAAAATCAGGAACTATCAAGGTATACTAACAGGAATAATGCAAATTAAATCGCATGACCTCATGCGATCAGCGAAATGTCAGGGCTGCGGGTGAGTCTTAATGCTCCTCCTTACAGATCTTTCTTAAGTTAGCTTAAATCGATAGCGAACCAGTTATACTTTAGGCTGCATTTCACGTGAACGTATATTGTTGATACAGAAATTTATATTCCATAAATTTACAATTGTTTATATTCTAACATTGCTCATTTATTTCTTTAATGTAAGCTGCTTTAATATATTTTATTGAAAAATATTATCTTAAATGTATACAAAACATTATTCTTTTCTTTACTTTCTTATATCATGCATGTTTTGTTTCATTTTTGATGTCTTTCTTGCATGTTTTATTCCCTTTCTTTGTTTTATCCTTGACGTCTCATGGACGCCTACTACTCAATCATGCGATTTTACATTACGTCATACACGTATATTGTGATTTTCTACATTTTTTCTGTACAGAAAAGATTCTTAATTTTATCGAACAAATTAAGGGTTAATTCAAGCTTGGCTAACAATATTTGCATCATAAAATTCAAAAATTGAGTTCCGCTCTGCACGCAAATGACAGTAAAACGACATCAACATCGGTACGAGTAATTTTATTGTTTAGCAGCGGTATATTATTTCCACCGTTCCCACAAGTAGCTTGATCTTTTAAAAACATATACTACAACAGTAAATTTATCTCATCGTTCCTCTTTTATTTTAAACAAAGGGAACTATGATTTATTTTTACATAAGCGACAAATTCAGAAATAGAAACACGTCCTCATTTAAACATACTCATTTGCAAAAAAAATTTTTAATTTTTAATTCTAGTAAGTTTCAATATTAACATTTTCTAATTTCAAGAAGGGCATTATGTTTCACAATTTGCCAGCAGCTGCTTCGCATAAGCTTCGTGCGAGTTCCATTATCGACCGTGTGCACTTTCTCAATACATTTTATTTGAACGTCATCGCACTTCACTCAAAGTCCCTTCCGGTTTTGCGTATCTTTGCCCGCGATTAGGTATCCGAACACCTTACATATGTTAAGTTATGTAAACACATTTCCATGAGCGTTTCAGAGCGCGGCAATCGCTACAAGCCGTTACTTTGATTAGATTGAACTTCCCTCTGTGATGCATACGCCGCTATAAAATGGCAGGCTTCCTGTCTCAAGAGAATAAACCCGTTTTATGATAATTTATTATTTTCTACGAACATTCTCAAATAAATTTTTTATCATTTATCACTCTCTTACAAATCTTTTAATTTCTTTGATTATGATGACCGCTTCAATTGGATAAATGCTGATACTTATGTAAATCTTTTAATGATGTTAATAACATGTATTCTGCCTTTATAATTCTAAGAGATTGTAAAAGTACTTAGAAAGTATTCTATATAAATACAATTATTAAGAAAGGAGATAGATAGGTATAGAGTTTACGTATTTATAAATTATGTATAATTCGAGTTGAAAAGAAAATCTTCGCGCGATTAAATGGTGAGGCAATATTTACACCAGATGATTCAAGCAAATATTTCTTAAATCGCTGAATAAATCTTGGATATCGTATAACTCATTGATCGAGTCGATTAAAGTTGCAAATTAAATGATTGTGCAATAGATATCGTTTAAATCCGAGTAAACTGTCCATCAATCTTCTCGTTTTTCTCATGATTTCTCTGTATCTGTCACCTTTGAAGCAGCTAATTCACTTAAAATCATCGATCACCAATCTTTGTATTCTGAAGTATCTGACATCTGATGAAGCGAGCCTGTGATGTCTATATACGGATGTAAGTGCGGAGGGGAGATGCGCTCGCAGTGGCTTTATTCTACCTCTCTCCTCCCTCCTCTCTCTTTCTCTTTCTCTGAGTGTATTTTGATGGAATTTTTAGTAGTAAACACAACGCGAGAAGAGAGACCCAAAAGGGACCGATAAAATTTTATATCTGGTAAAAAAGAAAATCATAAAAATGGTTGTCCTTTTTTCCTGTCCTTTCGTTTACTTTGGACTTGTATTCCACTACGATCGGTGCAGCAAAGATCCAAAGAAAGGTAGAATGAAACGCGAGCAACATAAAAGGTAGACGCGAACAGGTAGATAACCCGAAAGGTAAAGAGAGAGAGAAGGAGAGAGATATGTCATTGGAAGAGCCACGAGAAAGAGAGAAAAGAGCAAAGGGGCGGGTGGAGAGAGGAAAAGAACGTTCCTCTCTCTTTCTTCTTCGAAGAACAGGCGAGAGGGATTCGAGACACGAATTCAGGACGGAATCTGTCCGGCAGCGCCGCACCGCACCGCACCGGTTAGAAGTCGCTGGCCTCTCTCTTTCTCTTTCCGAGAGCGGAGCACGTTACCGTCGCGGCCGATCCCAAGTCGATCTTCGTGAAGGTGTGGCGGTCAGATAGAGAGCGGGGAATATAGGAGAAGCGAGAGAAAGGGCAGAGAAGATCGGGAGACGTCAGGGACCTTCGGAACAAGCGTGAGAGGTTGCCATAGGGCCGGGCGTAAAACCCCTGCGGCCAAATCTCTCATCATCGCTCCTCCTCTCCCTCGTTTACTAGGTTCTCTTTTTTCTTTTTTTTTTCTTCTTCTTCTTTCTCGCTCGCGCGGGGATAATGGTATCCTCCATTATCCCCACGGAATTCAGCATATCGATATGCCCGAAATGAGTTTCGGTGCGTCCTCGGTGTGCAACAGGTCGGCGAGCTGAGCCGAGGGGCCTCGAAGAAGGCCGATTTCGCTTCTTCACAAGTCCCAAGTAGCGAGCGGCGATTGGCGAAGCGAGGGGCCCGCTCTCCTGGCCCCTCGTTCCGTTCCGTTCCGTCCCGTTCCCGCCGTTCAGATCGACGAGCGTTCAGCGTCACTCGGCAGAACGCAACGCGGAGCGGCCTTACGGCCCCGTGCCCCGTGGAAAAGTGGTTAGGTTCTCGCAGCTGTCAGACGAGGCCGCGAGTTACAGGTGTGCATATCGTGTTCGTGCACCCACGGTCGTGTGCATGTGACGACTGACGAGTGACGGGAAACGCGCGTGTTTCGTTGCGCAGGACCGAGATATCGCACGCGAATTTCGCGGATTTTCCTTTGGATAGCTGCGAAACGCGAAGCGAAGACCTCCGACATATATACAGGCAAGTTGCGACCTACGGTAGTGTGTTAGTATAGGATCTCAGTATATATACTTCTCTGCTGCAGGAAGACTAGGGCTTTCGGTAGAGCCACCAGTTACGATCGATTCCGATGAAATTACTTTAAATGTTTTCGAATATCGTCACAATATGTGTTTCAATCGTTTGCCGCTGTTTTTTTTTAATCGAGATTCTTTTTTAAATTTACGCCAGCGACTTTTAAAGTGCGTTAAATGTGAAAATCGATTATGTTAACTTTTCGAGAGTGTTTTTTGAAAGAATGTGACCATTCATGCGACGTTACGATCAAGAATTTGAAATTCGGTACGCGCATATGTCAAGTGGAAAAGGAACGTGCGAAGCTTACTTAAGTTGTGATGGATTATTAATGTAAAAATCAAACAGTAGAGAGGCATATTCGCACAAATACGAATCTAAAAGTATTTCAAACACAGTGTCTGATGTTCCATAGTCAATTCTTACATTTCAGACTATCTTAAGCACAGTTTTAAGATGTCATAAGTCGATCAGAGCAGTATTAATTATCTTAAGATACTTAAGACGATCTTAAAATTAGAACGGACTACGAAACTGCCCAGTAAATCTCAGTAAGAGGAACTCGCATATTTTCTCACTAATATAAAATATTTGACGTAAAATCGTAAATCGAATCAATAAGAAAGTACCAAATGAAGTCAAAGTTAGATATTGGTACCTAATAACATTTCTACGTAAATTTTTAAATACATCTTTCAGTTATGTAAACTGGTTGCCAATTACTATTGAACTTGCAACGCAATCATAAACTAAAATAATAATCTTATAAATTTTGAATTGATTTTATAACAATGTGCGCTATTAACAGTACTAATTAAGAACTTATTGCGAAAAATTGCGGTTTTATTCAACTTATTATTGTAAAATCGTAAAATTCAGTATTTCACTTTATGTAGAAATTTAACTAATTGGAATAATAGTAGAGCGAAATATAACAGAATGATAGAACATCAAAAATTGATACTCATTGTGGTCGACCACGTTAGAAACGCAAATTTTCAACGCTCATTGATCTTTCTTGTCAATCGTGATATGTATCAGCAGTCAGCACATTTTCATCTTGCAAAATATTTTTGTTATAAAGCACCGTCGTCGTTAAGGATCAGTGGGAAATGATCCGCCGCGAGATGGATAACGTGGAAACGGGTTTAAGCGTGAAAGTAATTGAGGAAGTGGATGAACCGACAGGTTCGCTCATGCTCCTCGAGTAGCGGACAGATAAAAAAGGCTGGCTTGTGGAAAATTGACATTTTTTCATAATCGAGAGGCACAGTATATAATTAAAGAAAAATTATGCAGGAAATAGTGTCCGTTTACGTTCCACGCGATAGTAAGATTATCCGCAATTTCCGTACCTCTGACAAACACTTCCGCGCGTGAGCGTGCACTAACATTCGCATTATCGCAAAATATATCCTCGTTATCCATCATATAAAAGACTTCGTTTCAGCCATTTAACGTTACAACACCTCTATCATGATTTTTTAATTTATTATTGAAATATTTTAAACCGTAATATCAAAAGATCTCGGGTGCGTTCGGTTAGTCTATTAGCGCTATTTGTGTCATTCTATTTTTATCGTTCGTTGGATGTAAAACAAGAATAAAATAACAAGAATAGTATTAACAGCATCTCCTTGAACGCACCCACCTCTTGTCACAGCAATTAAAAATGACGAATCGTAAGACTTAATATTATCTCTTTGTATCGCAGGTCCTATTACACTGAAAAAAATGTACTAAATTTTGATAAATATTTGTTCAAATGATACTAACTGTATATTTATTAAATTTAAACATAAAATTTATATATATTTAGTACAAGAATCATTCACATATTTGAAATATCATTTTTTTATCAAGTAAATATTTTTTTACTGTAAGTACGTAAATTAAGATAGTATTATTGAAAATATATGTCTAATATTAAGATTTAATAAATTTTTTTCTTAGTGTAATGGCATTAATCATTAAATTATTAATCATTAAATTACGATGTAATATATTTACTTTTCTATAGAGCTAAAGTTTATGATCGAAAGCAGAAATATTGCAAGAAAATTGTTTATAATCTTGAATTTAAAAAAAATCAAATTAATCGACGGCACTCATCCTATGAGTCGATTAAGTATCGAATACGCCCAGTAACGGGCCGTTCACAATCCAACGCATTCACCGTATCAATTCGTTTCCTGGATAACGAGCCGAAGAAGATGAAATGATGAAATCCGTTTGTTTCCGCGAACAGTGAGTGATGGCTCTACGCCTAAGGGGTAGCAAGGATGTCAAGAAGAGCTTCTATTACGTTTGGTATCTTGGTGCGAGAGAGGCCAAGGGGGTGGACGCGATGCCCGGTGCCATAGCTTACCTGCTCGAGCGGGAACGACTTCAAGAACCTTTCAAGGTCACATTGCAGGTGAGTGGTACCATCCTGAAATCCGGTTTCGGTGGCGCGCACCGAAAATATCACGGAAACGAATCGGCGATCTATGGGTTTAACAGACCGGAACTCGCGTTGATTATACTATCGTAATTTCCTAATTTACTTTTTCTTCTTCGTTTTTTTTCTTCTTCATGCGTATTCGCACGTATGACAGTGAAAGCAGTCGCCGGAGAACACAAAAATTGCAAGATTACGACCCGTAGCCACAGGTTTGCTCGACGAGTTTTCCCGTCCAGTCGATTGCAGTGAAACGAACGAGTTCTGTCGCAGTTTGACAGCGCTTTTGGTGCATTTTAGGAACGTGGGAATTTTCAATAAGCGCGCGACTTGAATGAAGAGAGATGTATTAACCGCGATGGAACGCGCGTTCGCAATATGTGTTGCGAAGGAGGAAAGAGTCATCCGTATAGCACATTTTTTACAGTTCTCGTTACAGCATCCCTATAGTCGTCCGTAATTAAGATTGCGGTGAAAGGATGCATGTTCTTTTTAATATATGATCTCCTTTCTGACAATTACATCGCGCGTGCAATGAAATCGTTTCCGAAGGCAACTTTGATTATGTATTTGTAACGTTACGCGTTCGCCGCTTAAGTAAATGTAATAATAAATTCACTGACCCGAATCTTATAGAAACGAGTGCAGTACTAATACGCTACTTTGATGGAGAAAAGAGAAATTAAACACACGATGCCAAAACTGTTTCGCGACCGTTAAACGCGGACACGTGGTATGCGCTTCCCGGCGCATATCAAGTGGCGTCTAAAAAAGGATACGCTCGCTCGTTTAGAAATCGCGTTTGCCGCCAGTACATGATGCAATAAATCTCGCTTCGAGTCGCGGTTTTCAAATCCGGACAGCCCGAGACATGATTTAGCGCTCGTGTTAACGGTGTCAAATGAAGCAAACAATTTCTTTGCGATGAATTTTTAACTAACGTCGTTATAGAGTTCACCAGATGCGCTCGTGCTGTTGAAAGGAGATTATTGCACCTGAACTGTCTGCGATAGAAACCTGATGGACAGTTGAGTAACTGACTAGGTTTTATCTCGAACTTGATATTTGCACCTTATCGTGAACTTTCGTTAAAGGTTATTGTTTACTTTGTATGACTAAGGCCCAGTTCCACAACTCACGGTTAATTCTTAACTGAGATTTAATTTGTTTTTTATCTCTTTCCAATTCTAGAAATGGAAAAAGATGAGAAATAAGTTGAACCTCGGTTAAGAGTTAACCGTGAGTTGTGAAACTGAGCCTAAAAAGTAATGCAGATATAATATAAAAAAACTATTTAATATATTAATATCTATATTTATGTTAGATATTCTTTACAGTATATATTTTTATGATATATTATATATTATATATTTTATCTCTCTCTCTCTCTTTCTCTTTATTTCTTATTTTTACTGGTTTTCCCACTTGTCCGAAATGTACACTTACTATGCAGTAGAAATTCACAGCAAGGCACGTACATCGTGTCGAAAAAAGAACACAATTATGAAACAAGATTCATCTAATCGTTGTGTAAGTTTAATTGTCAGCGTAGCAACGATGCGCGGGGAAAGTCTATGGAGTGTCTGTGGGTGGCAGATATCCATAACCAGTCTCACAATCGTTTCAGTAATTCGAATCGTCGCAATGATCGACAGAACGGTAATTAAGTGTTTTCGCGAAGTGGAACGCATTATACGAGAAAGAGAATTATGCGGCACACGCCTTCTCGCATATCTGCTCTCACGTGATTCACTTTAAGTACAAGGACGAACGTTTGTGCGGGACGCGAGATGAAGAACAAGGTAATCGCGAGAACGTTAAAACTGTACGATGCGAGAAACTTGGATTATTATGAATTGATTACTAACTAATGCGAACAATATTATCATCACGTTGAACATTCGAGAAATAAGGTCTTATTCCGAGGCATCGTGTATGCTTTTTATCATTAATCTATGTTTATTTTATTAAATATGCATTTAAACGCTGCAACCATAGTGCGGAACGTATCGCGAAGAATCCTCGCGATTCACGAGGTGCAAACAAAGCCGCGGTTTGCGCAAGGAACCTGCGCGCGCGCAATCTTCGCAACCAGCAACGTGAACGGCGTATATTTGTATTTGATAGGTGAGCAACAAAGGTCTGAAGATTATACAAACTGTTCATCCTGGTGGCTCGACGAGGTCGGCAGTCAAACACTTGGTACCGGGTCACGCGGTGCTGGCAGCCGTACAGCGGGAAGACATCGTGGCCGCGACTCTGCTCCTGCCAAATCCAGCGACGAACAATCCCGTGCATGTGCACGCATACAGGTTATTATATATCCACTTAATATAACAGACTAACAAGAATTTAATATGTGTAATAAATTAGCTGTATAAATTAAAAACTAGCTAAGAGAACTAATTTTTAACACGTACATTGTAATATTGATTAAATATTACAATAAGACTGAATGAAAATAAGACAATTTTCGAGCTAATTAGCTTTGTTCCGTAGTCGGCCAAACACATTCGAATCGCTCTTTCATTAATCAGGCAAGAATATAGAACTTTAAGAGCGTATAGAGATCTTTATTAAGAATGCAAATATGGGAACCTAAGATGCGACCAACGCTGTTTATTCATCAAGTGTTATAGGAATTCGCGGTTAAACAGAAACCATTCAGTTCATCTCCTCGATCTCATTACGCGAGTCACGTTTCATTCTTTAATTAATGACTTTCGTAATTCTAACGGATCGTTAATGATTTTCATAATCCCGCGTTCACACGTATAGTTCAGCCACGTTATATCGTTGTGGCAAAGCTGCCATGCGAACGAATAAGAGTATTCGAAGCAACCTTGCTATTAAATTGCAAATTATCAGGGCTATTAGTTCAACGATCTCCTTTACAGCGGCACGATAATTAAATCACGTTAAAAGTAATTATTCCAAGTTCAGAAGTGTCAAATGAATTTTATTTTGTGCACGAGACTGCAGGGATAAAAATAAAGTTATAAAATGTCGTTCCTTGAGAATCAACATCGATGGCGATTGTAATGACAATCGAAGTTTACCGCGAAGGCGCACGATCTCTTTGACATGCTCAATGAAAGTCCCGTTAAAGAACAATTTGCTATATAGAAGAGCTCGAACGAAATATCACAACTACACAATAGTGTATTCTGTACTTCGTACCGACGACCTAAATGAGCAGCAGTAGCTGATCATTTTCTTGCTGGCAACGCAGATTATTATGAACTTACATCTATTTGTAATAATATGCACATTTTCCACGTATTTTTTATAAATAGAGCGACTTAATCTCGCACTTCGTCGTACGTAAAAGTTTTATACCGTACATTATCTACGCAATCTTATTTTGTCGCTGCTTTATTGTTTTTATATTTAGTATAGCATATGTGCGTATGATGTTACATAAAGGAAGGCAGGTAAATTACAATTCTGGTATCGCTATAGAGCCAACAGAATGAGATTACATTTATCTCTCATTTTACTCCTTTGTCATTTTGATAAAGGCAAAACTTCATTTATCTTTCGCCTTACTTTTGACCCATTCTAGATGCGATTCGGTCGAGACCGCCGAATTGTTAGGTGGCCAGTTAAAAGCGCTAGCGTCACACACTGACAATTTGGCCAGGGTCACGGCGAGCGAAGGTAGAATCCGCAGCAATCTAGGTAGCGATGGCCGAAGTACCAGAGAATCTGAGTCTTCCGAAGGTAGCGGTGAGCTCAGACACGATCCGGTCCAAACTACGACCATCTATGAATCTTTGGCCGCCGAGTTGCGAGCAAAATTAGGTAAATATTATTTTTTTAGCATCGTTACACTGATTACAAGATTTCGTTATACCGATATTGAAAAGCGAATGGAATATTTTGGAGAATGCTATGTAAAAGATTAAGCAAAAAGGCATATTTTATATAAATAAATAAAAAAGGAAATATAAACGTAAAATACAATATAAATTATAAGAGCGATTTTTTGGAATGTCTCAGAATTTCGTTCATCTTTCTCATTACCATTTACATGAAATGCTGCTCTTGTGGCGATATCGGCTGCTCACAAGAGAACGAACGACAAACGTCCGCGCGCGCGTCATACGTGTCAAGGTAACGTGAGTACGAAGCAGATAATCGTGTTTCAGGTAGAGGTAATTCCGGCGACAACGACGTCGGCCCGATATTACTACCGCCTCGTGACTACGATACTGTGCACAGACACCACGGTAACTTAGCCGGCATCGAGTTCAGGCGTTGCCTAAATCAGACCATCGTGGGTGGTAGCACGGCCGTTGACAGGGGTGGCACGAGGAGTGCAGCCAGCAGCGGCATAGGATCTGATAGCGCAGCAACGCCACCACCCTATCAAACGCACCATCCTCTCGGCCAGAGACCGTCTAGACCGTCTAGAGATTCCTCTTCCGGTGAGTTACCTTTCACAGTAAAAGGTTTGGTGCGATAATAAGCCAAATATTATATTATAAATATTATAACAACATAGAAATCTCTTAGATTAGTGAAATACTTTTTTTTTTAATATTCTTACCTTGAATAATCGATTGTTGAATGAGTTAAGATTCTTTAGATAATTTCTCTTTGATGTTTTTAATAACTTTCTGTTTCATAAATCAATTTGCAATTTTATGTTTACATAAATTTTCGCGTAAAATCTTTATATCTTAAATTCCGAAGATCTCCGGTATTTTTTCAATAACACTACAAATTTTGAATAATTTTTGGTGCAACAAAAGGAAACAATTTTTTCCAACGTATTTTGAGGCTCTAAGTTTCAATCTGTCCTCGGAAAAATTTTATCGGTCAAATTTTTAATATAGCATATCAATTTTAAGATGTAGCACGTCTTTTCGAACAATTGGGGTGCAACACATGATGTGTAAAACGAATGCTCTATCAGGATTTGATGATAATTGAGAAACATTAACAAGAGTTATTGGACGAAATGTACTAGATTACTACTGAATTTTGATAATAAATTTAATTTATGACTTTGAATTCAGTTTCACGATCCAAAGTCATATAAGAAACAAAAATTGAACGCTCTACACTTCTGCTTTATTTTTTAACTTCAATCAAACTTTACCAGATATATATTGGAAAAATGCTTTCTCTTGTATCTTAGAAAAATCTGACCTAATAGAAATGGAATTTTAATCCCGTGTCTATAAACAGTCTTTATATGCTCTTGCACAAAACCTTGTAACTAATGTAATTATTTGATAATTAAAATTTTCGATTAGTGCAATATATTAGGTGTTAACTTAATTCCTGCCGTTTTTCGACTCCAAAATTGATTTGTTTCGAAGGAAAATATCTTAATCAAAGTATTATTAATAAAGTATTATTAATTAGTAATAAAGTATAGAAAATGGAAGAAATTACTTTGATTAAGGTATTCATTCATCTTTCCTTCGAAACAAATCAATTTTGGAGACAAAAAACGGCAGGAATTAAGTTTAACACCTAATAATATGTCAGAGATAAACTGATCTTTGTGACAAACTGGAGCTTGTACTAATATTAAGAAGCATATGCATGAAATTAGGCGTTAGCAAGTAGGTCGTTGCAATATCTGAGAGATATTTTCGCGACTCAACCGTTGCGTCAAGTTACGATGCAACATCCCATTTGAAGAAAGCCTGCGCCGAGGAGCGTGCGTAAAATTGGCTGCAAGCGTGACAATTGCATCTAGCGAGTGAGAAACTTGCCGTGAATATTATGCTCGCAGTTCATAGAAATTCCTCATCGTTGGCCAATACCTCCGAGAGTATCGTTGCGCAGGTACGTTACATGGCCGCGAAAATAGGTTTTCAGGACGTAAACACACGGGTTTACCTCGAAGCTGCTATTTCGACGCAATTACCTTCTTATTTGGCATACTTAATGGAAAATTTATACCATGTTGACTCCCGGCAATTAAATTTATTGCAGTCTTATACACGCGCGATAGCTGTAGTGTCTCGAAAGTTGTACAACTTGTTCAATTTATGCTCTAAGACCGATCCGTAAATCGCGTCGTAAAATATCGAAAGTCGACGACACGGAGAGATCGATTGTGGGAGAAGAAGATTGAAGTTATATAAACGCGCCGTGTACAACACAAGTAGCACAGAAGAAAAAAACAATTGCATCGTTACGTCATTTGCAGCTAATTGCAAAATGGAAAGTTTTTAGAATAATCTCGTGATGCTGTTGACTGGACGCATCATTGCGCCGGTTAAACGTTAACGCAAGCCGACGCTGGGCGCCGTACGAAAGTGAAAGGCCTCGCTTCTTCTTTTCGCGATCCGTCTCAGGAAATGATCGAGCATCTAATAATCATTCTTCTCGAAGCGAGGAGAACCATCGAGATCGGGGAAATCAGCTTTATGTGTGGCAATAAACGTAGAGAGCGAAGTGATTACCGTCTAAAAAACTTTTGTCAAAAATTCATAAAATAATAGCGTATTTATCGTTGTTATTGTCAAGAATATTGAGACAGACAAATTGCGATTGAGTTTCTTTATCTTTTTGCTGTTATTCCGTCTTGAAGAAACAAAAAAATTATGCGTATCTCTCAGCAATCACTACGTCTCCTCATGCGCATGAAAGCGGAAATGCTTCCAAAGATTCATACCCGACCGGTGACGACAAAAATTTGGGCGCTTTCTACTCGCGTGCCAGCTTGAATCTTATCGACTCTCGTAGAAAACTGGGCAGTGGCGATCCGAGCGACCTCGTAACCCAGTTTGCTGGTATAGCTACGAAAAATTGTTTCTCGTTGTCGTCTTTGAGCACTCGTCTACTTTTCCTTCTTTCTTTTCCGGCTGTTTCGCCATCGAGACATCTGTATTGAATACGGAATCGAGTCTGGCCCGGTTTGCCATTGTGCATGCAGTCTTCTTCAATAAAATCATTCACTTTCACGGTCAAGCTTGAAAACTTCTCATTCACCGGATACCTGCACGTATCGCGCGACTTATAGATCTGTTCTTTTTACCTGACTTAACGTAATGAGAAAAATTAACCGTGTAAAAAGTTTAGATTAAAAGGATATTAGGCCTTATGTGAAAAAAGTGCACGAAATCACATCTTCATGTAAAGTAGAGCCAAGGATTGTATATTATAATTCGGTGAAAGTTTATTAGAAAAATGAACAAATATATTAAAATTTTTATAATTTTATTTATAATTTAATTTTATAATCGACACCTAATAAATTTGCTCACTTTTGTAATTTTCATCAAGTTGTGTGATACGCATAAATTAAACTCTTATAGACGCAACGAATTTATTTATCGAATTCAAGAAAATTAACTGTAACGCGAAAGAATCACATTTTGCAAACTAGCGTTTTATTGTTAAATGTTTCTCTCTGTGTGAGAAATCCCATCGGCCATTTAAGTTTTTCACCGTCACAATAACCGAAACTTTTGCGGTTAAAATCTATTAAAGTGGATGGATCGACAGCAGACGACAAATTATAACTATCGTTATTTGATGAAGAAAGAGGCATTCAAAGACTCACGATCCAATTAAGAGAAATTTATTTCATTTGTAATGTACCCTTTGGGATCCAGAATAAGGGGGAGAGTATCTTGAGAATGGGAACGCAGCGATAGAGAGAAGAATAACGGTGATGTTTAGTATAAATACTTCTTTATTGGTACTCGAGCCAGAACCATGCACGTACGAATCCATCCTACTTGCTTTATCTTTTGTATAAAACAGCGTGTAGTCTGATATACAGCGGTGCACATTAAAGATGCACGCGATGCGCGTATATCAGAGCTTCGCGCTCGTCCTCTGGGGCGTGCCTACTTCACGAGAAACGTGTTTTTAACGGACGACTGACCCATATAATGTCGTTGAATAAATTTCGAGATGAGGAAGATGGAGGGAAAAAAAACACGACGAATCTGATACCCCCGCCGCACCATGTAGATACCGGTAGATACGCTCGGCTCCGGCGTTAAGCTCGTACACCGAGAGAGATTGTATTGAGCACCTGTTACAGTGGAAGAAATACCGTTAGGACGTCGTCGTGTCAGCGGCAGGTACCATGGCACAACGGGCGTACGTATCTCGGCTGGCTCCAGGGCTATGTACGGTCACAAAAATCAGCCGATCGCCGATATTGGCAGCCAGACTTTGTAGCTGTTCGTCCGCGGTTTCGATAAACCTGTGTATGTGTGTGCAGATTTAAAACATTCAAGTATCCCACGCAATTAACGTATGGCTAGCAACATCGATTCCTTCATTATGAACAGTAATTAGCTAACGATGCCAAAATAATTGTCTGAAATCGTGCGCCATAGGCACACAATGGTTATTCGACTCTTCCAAATTGTTAAATGTTGCGTAACTTTTGCGTGTACAATTTTTTAGTCTCCAATAATTTCTAAATTAAATTAAAAATTGATTCAATCGTCACGAACCGATTTGTGGTTTCACGGTAAATCTTCCTTTTCGAGCGGTCCAGCGTGCGTTAAGGCGGGTCGGTCGCTGTGACAACACAAATAATAAAGTGGAAGGAAAATACTGTTTATGTTATTCGATAAGGCGCACTGCTGAGTCTCCCCAGGGGAGATATCGTTGAGACATGTCCGAACTATGTGTCCAATTTCGAAGCTATCGCATGTGCGCGTTGAAGCTACATATACCGACCACCCGCCTGCGAAGATTCATTCATCGTTTAATACAAACGAGATCTCCCCACTCTTCAATCCACTATTCTGCTATCAGAGCAATAAATCCGCTGTTAACTCGAATTTCAGGAATTTGGCGAATTTTAACCATTCTATTCATGAATGTCAGGACACTATAATAACAAATTCACATTAGTTGAACACATTAGTGGAGTGTAAAAATGAAATGCAAATATTTTGAATTATTAAATACATATTTTACCCGATAGCACAATACGTATTAAAGATTTCGCGGTTTAACCAGTTTCTACATTTAAATTAAATACACATTTTTTCGTTAATTCGCGTATAACCGCTTTAATGTGCACCATAATGGGCACTGAGTACGTCCAATCGAATTCGCTATAATATTCGACTGTCGAAGCTACACGACTTTGCGTGATTTTTATGCGAAGGAAAAGATGATTTGCCTATTTAATCTTCAACTACATCTTATGAAAACTATACTTAAGTTTTGACCTACATCTTGCGTTTTGTTTGAATTACAAAACATGCAAGTGAATCTCTGTCTTGCAGCGATTGATAGAGAAAGGTTCAAAGTTTTTTTACCTACAATTTATAGGCCGGTATTCATAGTCAGATCTTATATTCGAGACCGTCTTAAGAAGTCACAAACCAATCAGAAGGCTGTATTAGCGTCTTAAGACATTACTTAAGACGGTCTTGAAATAAGACTCGACTATGAATACCGACCTTAGAACCTCATGGTACCAATCATACAAATTGTACAATTGTCCAAAGGTTTTTACTTTAGAGTCGAAATGGCCCATTGCTGTATTCGAGGATATTGAATAAATCGATGATTATATTTCTAAATCGGATAATCGAGAAGCGCGACACGCAGATACGCATCCTCCTTCCGTCATATTTATGTTTCGTATGATTAGAGAAGACGCGACAGATGCTGGACCGCGATAATCAACACCTGATTTTTTTTTCACTGTCCCACCGTGTGAACGGCGCCTCGTTTGCTCCTACCAGAAATCCTTGCGGTTTAAAGCGACGTGACATACTTAACTGCCTTCGCACATCTTGTAGTCACGATTCGCCTCTGCATCGCCTTACATGACGTAGCTGCATTTCGCGCAAAACTATTTTAATGCTGCTTAGATCGCAGTCGGAGATTAGATGTCAGCTTATCGCTTCTCAGCGATGCTAATCAATTACGATCTCATCGACGTTTTATTGTGTACGAATTTTTAGTCTCTTATGTACCGTTATATGTGCACATCGTCTCTAAAGTCGCCGCTATTGTAATAAATAAAAATTGCACCGTTGGTGAAACGCTTCACAAATCGATCTATTTGCACCGTGTGATAAATATTATAATAGATGACTATAAATTATAATTCTAACTCGTCGACATGGTCGAAAGAGCCAAAAGTATTTATAAAATTCTCAGAAAGGACACTCTTGATGGATTTCACCCTGCGATTCTTACCTAATACATTCCGCCTCGGTATTTTACTGCAAATCGTTGCGCAAAGGAGTCCTTCTTTGAAGAGGAGAGTTTCCATGCGCATCCGAGAGAAGGCGGGAGTCGAGAGCGCCGCTCCGTGTCGTCGTTGTTTACGGCAACGGGTAATGACAGTTATGCTGATGATGATGATGATGATGAGACGGAGCCTTGACGACGACGACGACGACGACGACGACGAGGACGACGACGACCGGCAGCGCATAAATTCGTGCGTGAGTCGACCTCGTGGGAGGCCGTTGTACGTACGGAATAAAGTTCCGCATTCTCGGCCCACAGCCCGAGGCATCTCTCAGCCTCTTCATGTCTTTCTGAGTCTCACATCGATGTTCTCTCCTCTCCTTCTACGTCCTTTTAGCCCGCTACCGCTCTTTAAATCTTTCTTGACCTCATCGAGATGCCAAATTCCGCGAGAATTACCGCCGGCCAAGATTAAGAGGGCCAATCGGTTACAGACACTACTTGATTTTCATCCGTTCATCGTCTTACAGAACAAAAAAAACAAAAAGCGAAAGACTGTTATTAAATAAAAGTATCATGTAATATTTTATTGAGCTTTTTATAAAAAATATATATAGACAGAGATAAAGTTATTCGTTTTTATAATTAAGCTTATCTATAATTACTACAAGAACTACTAAGTCAAAAATGAAAAATATATTCGATGTACAATATATATAATATAAATGAAGTGAAATTATAAGCAATAACTATAATTATATGTTAATGTGTTAACTATAATTACATGTTAATCGTTTGCAGATGACGATTGGGGTGTGCCAAACGAGGACAATGACTATTTACCAGAAGTGGAGACAGCTGCAAGTCTGACATTGCCGCGACTGCCGCGAAGCCCAGAAAGATTACCCAATCAAGCAAATAGGGGAGTTTCACCAAGTTGCAATAGGAATCGACGAGCGGCGGAATTTAGACAGCGATCACCAAGTCCTCAATATCAGCCCAGGGTCAATCCCGGCGACGTGACCAGTCCCAGAGAGAGGTTCCAAGATGCTAAGGAAATGTTTAGGGCGATGGAGAGGGAAGCCATTGCCAGGCCTGTTCTCTCCAGGCAGAGAGACATCGAGCATCATCCTGTACACAGGTGTGCTTTAACCCTCCGCAAACTAGGTGGGGTGTGACATACTCCAGCAAGATGAATTTCTATAACTTTTTAAAAAAAAGTACGCACGTATGTTGCCGGTTTTGTGCAGCTAGAGAGTGCGTTGTTACTAATCATACTAAATTATAGTATATTTATGATGAAATACAGCATGGGGCATGAGATATATTCACATATGATCCATATTGATTTTCCACCTGGTTCGCAGGGGGTTAAGAATGATGTCAAACAAATTAAATAATGTTTACAAATAAAATCAAAATCAGAAAAATTTATCTTCTACTAATAAGAAATGTATTTCATGATTCCGTTTGTATTTAAATACAAACGAATATAGTACTGTGTAGTTTGCGAAATGATTCGATCGTGAGTAAAAGTCGGAATGTGGTATCAGCGTCGAGATTATCAATCCAGAGATAGCAGTAAACGCGACATCAACCATCGTCGCGTTTTTTCGTTTTGTACATATACGGTTCTATCCAACTTTCCACGCTCAAACGGGTTTCAAGTATCAAACATTTTCACCAAACGCGTTCTCACAAGAGAGATTTGTAAAGATACAAATCTTGATATGTTCGTGAAAATGTTTGTAGAAATTGCAATTAGAGAGAGTAGAGCGTTTGTATCCTGTATGTCCACATTCCTAAATTTTTTGTAGAAAATGTCTCTTGGATTTTATAGAAAGAAAAATTTTCCGTGGAACATAGTTATTGATTGTAATTCGGAAATAGTCATCTAGAGTATTTTTATATTCCAGCAGCAAAAAAAATTTGTGAATTGTTATAAAATATTTTTTAATACATTTGTAGTTTTTTTAATAACTATTCGAACTTTTAAATATGCAATTTCATCTTTTGCAGGAAATCTGCAAAATATTAATTAAAATTTTTATTTTTTTAGAAATACTAAAAAATAATAAGGTATTTAACGTGTTTATATATTTCATTTAATATTTGTTTAGTTTCAACTTATTTTTTCATAAAATTGTGATTAAATCTACATCCGTAATATTTTCAAATACTAATAAATTGGAAAATAATCAATAACATATAATATATTGTTAGTAATAGTGATTTTAATTAAAATAAAAAAATAACTCAGGTAATTGTTTACGTAAAAATAAAATCAGGTGACTACTCTCAGATTAATGAACGTATAAATTAATCATATTTTGAACTAGAATCACGTTCAGACTTTGTGTACTAATTTTTTATTCTTATTTATTGTTAATTGATTAAAGGATTTGTTGAATGTAAAGATTTATTCAATATTGTTATTTAATAGAGTCCAGTCGGCTAGACAGGTTCACGAGGATAGATCCGGCCGTCAATATCCTGCAAGCTTAAACTCCATGTCCTCGCATGAACATGCAGTCAGACGAAGTCAACCGGACGTGCTTGATCGTGAAAATGTCATATCTTACAAAGGTAGACCACGACCCAGGACTCATCATTATGCGATTGAACGTCCACCTGAGCCAGAGATTTCGAGACCGCGACCAAGGAGCTTCTACGAGAATTTATCGATCGGCAGAGATTTCAGAGATTCAAGGACTCTCGTAGATCAGAGAGATGTAAGAGTGACATTTTTAAATTGCATTTAGCACTAAATCTAATGTAAGCACTAAACATAATAAAAGTAAGTTTAAAATTATAACGACTTTTATATCTTTTTATTAAACAGATGCGAGAATTTCGAGAACGTGCACAGCACCCACGAGAATTACGCGACAAGTTGCGAACGAGAAGCACGACCTACCAGGAATTGTCGGAGCATGAAAGATATCCTGGACTCGATCGTGAAAGTGCCAGACCGCCGTTGGAAATGATCCCAACATCCGGTAGATATCGTCACAGCTACGCCGAGCCGCCAAGATTGGGCCTGGCTGCGCTTCATCCCTATTGATGCGCTAGCCCGTTTTAATTGGTGAATTATTTAATGAATTAACATATCGCGCTATCATTATTTTTGCATTATTATGCACTGCGCCTTGACCGTTCAGTATGTTCATGGTTAATGACCTTTATCCCGCCTCTGGAATAAGATGAGGAAGGAGAAAGGAGAGAGGACTGCGATATGGATATTTTTATTTTTTCAACTTTGGAATGTTAACAAGGAACAGTTTTCGATTAATATTAATATAATTCTTTATTATCGATTGCATAAAACACTAAATTGTATAACGAATCATTTAATGCAATGTAATTGGCAAAATAAATTGTTTATACAATGATTGTTACAAATAAAAAGTGAAATAATTTGAATGTATGTTTCAACCTTTGAACGTCACACACTACAAGACGTCACATACTTGATTTGATATAGCATATCTAATCCAATTCGATTGCTTATAATTTTCATAATAATGAACATATTATAAACCGTTTTCTTTTCAATCAAAATGTCAGACATTAAGGAACATAACGGTACAAAGCAAATATGTATGTATCTTTATTAATAAAAAAAAGTATAAGAGAACAATGAAAAAAGCATTAGAAAAATATTGCCATTCCGAAAGGCGTTTAAGAGTTAAAATTAATTGCAGATTGTGACTTTGATGATTTGCTCACGTATCGTATCACTGAACAGTCAATGCCGATTGAAATTTGTATATGTATGTAACGAGAGTAAAAGAAGCTTGTATATGTATTACATTTTCGATGAACCCAATTCCATAATGTTTCATATCGTTGTTATCGAGTATGAACGCAGGATTTTATTGATAAGATCGTTCTGATTAAAGAACGAATTCTAATACGATCCCGTGTATTACGTACCATATTGTTATGCCACACTAACAATATAATAATAGTAGTAATAATACAATAATACCGATAATAACTGTATCAATAATAATTGTAACAACAATTTGTGGTATTATTTATTTCCTCCTTTGATCTACGGAAATCGTCGAACGTACGAGAGAAATTAAAAACTAGTTATATAAATCTAAAAACAAATTTATTTAGCGAATATTTATTTTACATTTTTGGATATATTGTTACACAATTTTATTTATATATAATAATTGAAATGTGCAAAATATATTGATCAAAAAATGGTTATTACATAAAAATTTTTCTTCTTTACTAATAGAAAGTTACCAGTAAATCAATCTTTGACATAAAGACGTATCTTCTTATTAAATAAGATGTGCATTAAGAATTATAAAAATATAATAGATTCTGTTTTATATAAAAAAAAATTAATTGAACATTTCTCTTATTAATGTATAGTATTATGTAACATAATAAGTGTCTATCCCGAGTTAAGATAATATATCTCCATTTCTATAGTTATATGATGGGAATTCTAGAAAATAGCGCGTGTACAACACACCATGAATCTTCGTTTAATTTATTCTGCAATCATATCCTCGTAGCAACATCGGGATCTTATGTAAGGAAGATATTCAATTGTAATAAAATGAATCCTACGGTGGCACTCATATGCGTACGAGATATAGAAGTGAAAAAATCGGACACAAGCATGGCGCATCAGCATTGATCTTTCAAAGATGTTGTCTCCGGGCTATGTTATATTTCATCAAACCTTACATCCCAAATGCATCGGGCGTTCCACATTTACAGCAATGACGTAAAACGTACGCGAAAAATACATATCTGCGCACCAAGATTCTATAACTTAGAAAATTTACTAAATGTTAAATATTCCAAAGAATTAAATGTTATCTATCCAATAAAATAATTCTTGTCGGATGTATTCAGCATCACCTTAACATTTATCGCAAGGATAAATTAGCAGCTTAGTGTCTATAATAAATGTGTCATGTAATAAATGTATTATCGTGATAAAAAATATTATGAATATTTGACTCGACTGAACTTATTGTAAATTGATTAAAGTAATAAATTGATTTTGCAATTGCAAAGTAGGTAGAAACAGCATACATATTGTTTTGATATTTTCAAAATTCTTTTTAAATAATGAAGAGAAAGTTTGCTTTACCGTCAAAAACATAATATTTTTCTCTCTGATATAGTGCGATATACACATTGTGCATATATAAAAATTTAAATGCAAATAACAAAGTAACAGCTAGAGATATTCGCGTATCAACTTTCGCATTAAGAGGAGAAATTGCTCAAATGCAATACAAAATGATTTCGTACAGAAATCGATACATATCGCGGTTTGCGGAGAAAAGTACAACAAGCGGCTAAGTGTATTATAATTTCGAGAAAGTCTTTTCACTTAAGACATTACAACATCGAACATATTTCGATATTCGCGATTTATTCATATCTCTCGTTTTCACCCGCCTCCTCTTTCATCTATTATTGTTTAATCTATGTATTAGAAAACGTGTGACATCGCTCCGTGAGAATGCTCTAATTGCGATGTTTCGTAAACCATAATCTCTGAACCTGGACTATAATTTCGTAGAGGTAAAGCTGAGATTATAAGACGCATGAAATTGTCACTGTCTCTGTTTTTCCCGCTGCCTGATGAGATCTGTAATGGCGCAGAACATTGTTCCATCCTCTAGCAGATCGTTATACCGGGTGTCCGTTATTAAAAACGGTACCGACTATGTCGTTCTCTTGTAACGTAATTCACACGCCGCCTAATGTAATTCAGAAATTTGATTACCGTTGCGTTACCACGTTTTTCATGTTTAAATTCTCAGAGATACAGCCGTTTTTCGCATCTTTTGAATACAAAAGTGAGAAACAATTTCCTGTTAGACCCTATTGAACGTAATGTGAAAATTATTTGTCATGTATCTTTTTTTGAATGATTTTGCGCGACGAAAGCGCTATTACTCTACGAGATTATTTGAATCTAATGTACAATTTGTATGGTGTGTGTCAAGTATATGTGTGTGTATGTGTGTGCAGCACGGATAAACAGGCTCTCCTTCTTCTGTAAAGGGATTCAACGCTTCGAACCTGCTCGCTTCTCTCGATGGCAGTGACCTGTTATAGGGGTCTCACGAGCCCCAGGGCTTTTATACTCGCGCGTGCACGCGATAGTTCCTGGTTAAATGCCAGACACTATATTGCGCTCTTTGAATCTGTGTATCATTCCTGTCCTACCTTTACTTATTCGCACCGCGAGAATACAAAATGTTTCGAGGTTTTTACTACACGACTTAAATATCATGAATTTAATCAATAATGTCAATATCAATTTCTCAATTTAGAATTTGTTTCTTTGAAAATTATTTAGGAATTAGCATTTTCTAAACATAAAAACATCTAATATATAAAATAAGAAATAAAAATTTATGAATAACAATTTCATATAATTACGAATTCTGAATACCTAAGTACTTTCGTACATGTAAAACAATTTGACTTTCATAACTTCGTCATCAATGATAAATTAGTGTGAGCTATGATGACCTCGTGTCTATCTAAAGACAAGAGTACGTGACGGAAAAGAGAACGCTTGTCGGAAGTGCCGTTGTTTCCGATGTGTATGCGAGAAGGAATTTTTTAAACTTTTCCTGCATGACTATATATATAATATTCTCCGTACGTACAAGTTTGACTGTCGTAACATTTGCAGCTGTATTTAATTAAGTTATACTATTGATTTTATACATATATATATAATTAATTATATATATATATATATATATATAGAATTTAGAAACATTGTTAAACATGTTTAACATTACTTCTATAAATAATTTTGATTATTAATATAGGGGAGACTGGAGACACTTGTAATGGAGGTTAGTTGTAACAATGCGTATATCTTTAAATGATAAGAGATAAGATGATCACATGAAGAACAAAAATAGTCGATATCGAGACCTGCGTTTGCCTCATCACATCAAAATCGCGCCGCATATAAAAGAAGTTATATATATGTAGGATGCTCAGATAAGCCATGTTAAGTTTAAATTTATGTTATACTTTTTTGCTTTAAACTTTCAAATAAAATGCTTTTTATCATGTTTTCATTTTATTAATTCTAAAATACGTTTTCTCAAGCTATGTGCATGTCTTTTTTGATATTTTTTAAGTAGTTTCAAATATATTTATATAAATTTTTACAACATCGATTTGGGGTTAAAAATATCGCTAAGATACATTGTAACATCATTGCAATTAACGGTAAATGTTAAGAAGAGTCCGCTCATCTCAAATTTTGATAAAAATACACTGAATCGGTGCGTTTTCGTGTAAAAATAAAAATTTGACAGAAAAAAAGTGTCGCTCTGTTTCATGAACCGAAATATTTTAAGTTGACGATTATTCAGGTTAGGAAATCTGTCACAGTCATGAAATACTGCGATGCAAGCACGTACTGAGGTTACGTTTTCATGTTCTATGGCCGCGAATGCGTTGTATTTCTTCTTGTAATAGATATTATTCACTGCTTTAAAAACAAATTATCTGTCCTAAAAAAAACACAAATTTATTATCTTAAAAACACAAATTCACTGCTTTGAAACAAATTCTCTGCTCTAAAACACAAATTCACTGCTTTTTAGTAAATTTGCTGATTTAAAAACAAAAATAAGATAAGATAATTTCTGTTTTGGAACAGATAATTTATTTTTAAAGCACTGAATTTGTATTTTTAGAGCAGTAAATTTATGTTTTAGAACAGATAATTTGTTTTTAGAACATGTTACACCTTTCCCTAGCTCTGTTTTATTTTACCCCAAATCGGAACAAGATGTACTAATTCGGATTTTGATATTTTATTCGTAAACAGCCTAAAATTACACCTTTTTGCAAATAGTACCATAAAGCTAAATAGTTGTGCATTAAAAGAAATAAACATATATGTCATAAATAAAGAAATATATGTATATTTAAAAAAATTGTTACAACTGTCCCCTGTATCTCCCTTATTAATAAAATCTAAAGCGTCTAAAAATGTAATAAAAAGCTTATAATAATAAAAAATAATAATTTTACTATAATTTAATAAAGTCTTACAATAATTTATATTTACATACAATAAGTTAGCGATATATTGCAACTGCTCCTTCTAAATTACATAAATTTAAATTATATAAATTCATTAATTAAACATATTACACGGAATATTTGCAACGTTTGATTCAATTACCACTTTAATCAGCAGAATTAAACTGTCATAATTATGGCAGCAATGCTCGAGCGGTGAA